GCGTGCGTGTGCGTGTGTGTGTGTGTGTGTGTGTGTGCGTGCGCGTGTGCGTGTGCGTGTGCGTGCGTGCGTCTGCGTGCGCGTGCGCGTGTGCGTGTACGTGTGCGTGTGCGTGTGCGTGTGCGCGTGCGTGTGCGTGTGCGTGCGCGTGCGTGCGTGTGCGTGCGTGTGCGTGCGCGTGTGCGTGCGTGTGCGTGTGCGTGTGAGTGCGCGTGCGCGTGTGCGTGTGCGCGTGCGCATGCGTGCGCGTGCGTGCGTGTGCGTGTGCGTGTGCCTGTGCGTGCGCGTGCGCGTGCGCGTGTGCGTGTGCGCGTGCGTGTGCGTGCGTGCGCGTGTGCGTGTGCGTGTGCGTGTGCGTGTGCGTGTGCGTGTGCATGTGCGTGTGTGTGTGTGTGCGGTCCTCGGGGAGCGTCGGCATGCTTGTGCCGTGACCCCCTGGAGCGGTGCCGCCACCCGACATTGCTCGCCTGAGCTCTAGCACGCGCACACCAGTCAGCACAGACCGGGCAGCAAGGCCAGTGGAATCGTGCCAAGTGGCACCACCCAAACAAAAAACAGCATGATGATCGTGTACATCAGCCCGCGAACGTTTTCACATGCACAGAGCTCAAAGCTCGTGGGCAGGAACAGCGCGCACGTCCTGCCGGTCATCGGCTGGGGATGGGGCGCTCTGCGGCGCGGCTGCAAGCTCCCTTGGGGAAGATGCGCGTCACGGCCCAGTCGGGCCCAGGCCAGACGGCCATCCCTCTCAAGAACACGAGACCCTCCGTCGGTGAAAACCGCGAGAACATCCGAGGGTGCCCTCCCCAGGATGCACACGAACGCCCAACGAGCACGAAGAGCACGGGGGTACCCTCCCCGAACCCACCTCGAGCTCATGCCCCTGTCCGACTGCAGGCGCTGGGGCTGGGCGCCCCGTGGGGCGTACGATTAACGCTCTGAACGCCCTGCCCGCGGGCACCAACGGCCATCCCGTCCACACTCCTGCGTGGCATAGTCTCGAGGCCTGGGAGCCGCCGAAGCAGCATCCGACGCCTGCGCGGCCCTGGTCGAGGCAGCCCCAGGCCCTTTCCTGGGCCAGGGGCAGTGCCACTGCCCAACGCCCGTCCACACCTCTGCGTGGAATCGTCTGGAGGCCCAGGAGCCGCCGAAGCAGCATCCGACGCCTGCCCGGCCCTGGCCGAGGCGGCCCCTCAGCTGTCTCCAGGGCCAGGGCGGTGCCACTGCCCAACGCCCGTCCACATCTCTACGTGGAACTGTCTTGAGGCCCAATGAGCCGCCGAAGCAGAATCGGCCCTGGCCGAGGCGGCCATCAGCCTCTTAAACTGGGCCAGGGCAGTGCCACTGCCCCACGTTGGGCGTGCGGCTGCAGACCGCACAGAGACAGAAGCAGACCCCAGAGCATGGCACCGCGTTCTTCCAGTCCCTCCTCGCGCGCCCTCCCTTTCAACCGCTCTGGCGCCCCCCCTCACTGCAGACAACTTGCCATTCCATCCCCTTGCCCGAGCTCCCCTCCGAATCGTCGCCAGGAAGCCGTGCTGGCAGAAGGCTTACCAAGTCAAACTCATGCTCTGAATAACAAAAGCAGCATAAACATGATTTCTCCGAGGTCCGCGCGGAGATACTGGATCGGCGCTGGGTCCCACTCCCGGGCGCGCGGAGGAACTGCCAGATGGGCCCGGCGCCGATTCAAGAGATCCGCGCGGAACTCCGAAAAACAAATCATATGTAGTCTGTGTTTGGCTCTGCGAGTGAGGAAGCAAACAGGGTTCGAGGACAACTTCTCCAAGCTGCTTCGAACCGCGCTTCTAACTTAATAAAAGCAGGAACAGCGCGGCGAGGGCGCACTCAGCGTCGCGGCGGCACCACACAGCACCACGCTGATCGCATCACCCTGGAACGCCGACGATCTTCCAGAGACAGCTCCGGCGTACCGACTTCCACGTGCAGCGAAGAATCTGAGAGAAGAAAGGACTGCAAAACCTAACCTCTCGGAGGTCCGAACGAACCTCCAGTCTGCTTCGAATCGTGCAAATTCGGTTCACGAGGTCCGCGAGTCCGCGAGTCTTCTCCAAAATGTCTGTTGATGCAGATTTATCCTTCTCTGAGTCGTGCACAGTGTCAGCCCCTTGGACATCGTCGGCAACCCAAGGGCATGGGTCAACGTCTAAGATGGAGGAGAGGAGGAGGAGGAGGAGGAGGAGGAGGAGGAGGAGGAGGAGGAGGAGGAGGCAGAGGGGGAGGAGGAGGAGGAGGAGGAGGAGGAGGAGGAGGAGGAGAGGAGGAGGAGGAGGGGAGGAGGAGGGAGGAGGAGGGAGGAGGAGGAGGAGGGAGGAGGGAGGAGGAGGAGAAGAGGAGGAGGAGGAGGAGGAGGAGGTGGAGGGAGGGGGAGGGGGAGAGCGGGAACGTTGCTGTCGCCAGACCCGCTGTCGCGGGCGGCGGCGTGCAGCGCGGGGCGGGCGGCTCTCAAGGGCATCGCAAGCATCGGCTCATGGCTGTGCGATGGCTGCGCGCGCAGATCCCCCGGCTAAAAAAGAGTTGCTCACCACCACTCCCACTCCGCCTCCTCCTCCTCCTCCTCCTCCTCCTTGTCCTGGCTGTGCGATGGCTGCGCGCGCAGATCCTCCGGCCAAAAAAGGGCTTCTCACCACAAGTGGCTCCCCGTCAGCACAGACGCCTGGGAAAAGCTGATCCACGGGCTCTCACCGGGCGGCCTCATCACGCAGAACCTGGCCGGCGCATGCCAGGCTGGCGGTGCACGGGGCGGCCGAGGCCTCAGGAAGCGCAAGGGCAGCCCCCTCCGCGCGGAAGCGGGGAGGATGGGGAGAGAATGAGCCAAGACTGAAGGGGCCCCAGGACACACAAATAAATACACACAAATAAAAATATTCATCATATTTTCCAATGTTTTCTGGGTTTCTGTCTTCCCCCCCACTTCTTGTATTTTCCTATATTTTCTGGGGAATCGAGGATTAATTGTGTCTGTGTATTCTTGTCCCCTCCTGAGAGAGAATGAGCCAAGACCCCTGCACAGACTGTCGGAGGGCCGTGCGGATTGTTCGGATCGGCGCTGGACCCCCCCCTCCTGGCGCGCGGAGGACGCCAGAGGCGCCGCCCAGGGGCTCCAGCGCAGAGCCGAGATCTTCGCGGACCATCGAGCTTGAGATTTATTCCCAACCATCCTGTGGTGGTGGGCCCTCGTTTTGAAGAGACAGTGCCCCGCGTTCCTTCCTGCCTTCCTTCCAGCTGCCCCCTCCATCTTCCCATCGTCGTCATCATCATCATCATCATCATCATCATCATCATCATCATCATCATCATCATCATCACCATCATAATTCTCCTCAGTACTGTCATCATCAGCATCAGCATCAGCATCAGCATCATCAGCATCATCATCAGACGCATCAGCATCAGCATCAGCATCAGCATCAGCATCATCATCATCGGCATCAGCATCATCGTCATCATCGTCATCATCAGCAGCAGCAGCATCAGCATCGGCATTATCATCAACAACATCGTCAACATTATCGTCATCGTCATCGTCATCAGCATCATCGTCATCATCGTCGCCATCGCCATCCGAATCCTCATCTACATGGCTGTCATCAGCATTACCATCATCGCCATCACCCCAGTCATCGTCATCATCATCGCCGTTATCGTCACCAGTATTGCCATCAGCTTCGACACCCTCCTCATATCCACCTCGCATGCGTCCCCCCGCCCATTTCGGCATACGCCTCACATGCTTCGTGGCCCCATAGGGAGCTTCACCGAAGGCCCCAGTGGCAGGGTTCGCATGCGTGTCCCCGCCCATGTGGGCACACCACTCACACGCTTCGTGGTCCCAAAGGGAGCTCCACCAAAGGCCCCAGTGGCGGGGTCCGCATGCTCCCCCCCGCCCATTTCGGCACACCACTCACACGCTTCGTGATCCTATAGGGAGCTCCACCAAAGGCCCCAGTGGCGGGGTTCGCATGCTCCCCCCCGCCCATTTCGGCACACCCCTCACATGCTTCGTGGCCCCATCGGGAGCTCCACCAAAGGCCCCAGTCGCATGGTTCGCATGCGTCCCCCCCGCCCATTTCGGCACACCACTCACACGCTTCGTGGTCCCATAGGGAGCTCCACCAACGGCCCCAGTCGCAGGGTTCGCATGCGCCCCCCCCGCCCATTTCGGCACACCCCTCACACACTTCGTGGCCCCATAGGTAGCTCTACCGAAAGCACCAGTGACAGGGTTCGCATGCGTCCCCCCGCCCATTTCGTCACGCCCTCACACGCTTCGTGGCCCCATTATGGAGCTCCACACGCGACACGAACGCTCGAGAGGCCTCCCAGATGCGGTCCGAGCAGGTGGGGAGCGAGGATCGCGCCGCATCGCCGATGCATCGCCGATGCATCGGTGACTTCGACGTGGAGAAACATCGAGCTCAACATCGAGCGGCATCGCCGATGCATCGGCGATGCCAAGCGATTCCTCGGCCCCGTCTGCTCGGACCCCATCTGGGAGGCATAGAGGGCGAACCCCCAACGCAGGCAAGGCACTCTGAAAGCTGATGTCACGAAAACATGCAGCATCGCAAAACATCGCGACCGCAACCCTACAGTCGGGGTGTTGACCTAAGGGACCCTAAATAAGGAACGAGGCCCCTTTTCTCCATGAGTTAAACTTCGATTTCCTATCGAAAACATAAAGAAAACCTGAGGCAAGCTGCGAAACACGTAAGGAACGCGGAGCCCCTTCCCAACCAAAAGGGTTCCTTCTTCAGGGCCCCGACTGTAGATCCTCGTCGTTCTTCTGCACCCTCCAAGCCGGATCGATCTGTGATGGCCTGGTGGTCGGAGACCTGGTGGGAACCACTGAGCACCCTGAACGCCACGGCTTCTTCGTCGGCCGCGGGGAGCCGCCGCGCCGCGCGAGGAGCGGAGAGAAACCCGAGGCACCCTCTGGCGAAGAGCGCCCGGCTTCTTGAGGCGCGCGCCCCGCCGTATCAGACCTCCTCGCCCGCCTGCGCCTCGCGGATCAGCTGGCGGGTCCACTTGGACGGCCGGATGCTCTTGCGGCGGCCCCCGTGCTTGAGGGTGCGGGCGGCCCCCCGCCACAGGCCCCACCAGTCCGGCCGGACCCGCCTCCCGCCCCGAGGAGGGAGGGACGACCGGGGGACGGGGAGGGGAGGGGCGACGAGGGGAGAGAGGGAGGGAGCCAGGAAGGGAGGCGAGGAGAGAGGAGGAGAGACGAGGCAGTCATCAGCCTCCAGAATGCCATCGATGGTCTCTCGGAAGCTTCCTGCCACCCTGTGGCTGCCTCTGCTGGTTGCCCCCCTATCATCCAGTCCCCTCTCGTGGGGGGGGGGGGGGGGGCGAGGGAGGACGAGGACGGGGGGGAGGGGGGGAGGAGGCGAGAACGAAGAAGAAGCGAGGACGGAGGGAGGAGGGTGGAGGTGAACTGGTGCGTGTAGCAGGGGCCTCCCGGATGTGGCAATAGTCGCAATTCACGCCCTTGCTGCACTTGTTGTTGACCCAGAAGACGCACGGGGAGCACGAGCCCTCGTCGTGCCTGCGTCGTGGCCGTGGGGCCACACATCGACACACAACTTTAGAAACCGGCTCAACAATCGCCGCGCGACCACCAACTCTGGCAGCACGCGCCCCACGCGAAGCAGATGGGCCACGAACGCCAATGCCACAGAACGATCCGTCGCAAAATTAGCCTGGAAGGTCCACACGTCGAAGGGGGCGTCGTGAAGGCAGAGGAGGGGTACAATCGGGGAGTTGACCTAAGGAACGATAAATACAGAACGAGGCCCCTTTTTCCCATACATTAAACTCCGATGTTCCATGGAAAACCTCAGGAAAACCCAAGGAGCACTGTAAAGCAACTAAGGAACACGGAGCCCCTCTCCAACAAGAAGGGTTCCTTCTTCAGGGCCCCGACTGTAGTTAAAAGGTGGGGCTGGGGGAAAATCGCTCCGAATCGCCCTTGGAAAACCGAAATGCGCGTCCACCCGGGTTCGTTCCCTGCCCCCACCGTGGAAGAACACCCCTCTACGAAGCCCCGGGTTGACACCACCACCAGCACCGAGGTCGCCTCCTTCGATGGCAGCGAGGCCGAAAAAGGCACTAACACCTTCTCGAACCTGGAATCTCGAACCTCTTCCCCCCCACCAGAAGAAGAAAAAACGCCGTACACATCAACTTCTGGCGCTCCACGCGGACTCTTTGGATCTGCACTGGACCCCCTTGCCCATTGCGCGGAGCGCGCCAGGAAAAGGCGCTGGAGGCGCCGCAGAATCATGGCCAACGCCATGATATCCACCCCCACTAATCATCACCCCCCTCTTGGCTTAAGTCGGGCCTGTCCCCCTACAGAGGGATATTCGACGAAAAATGAGAAATACCCCAAAAATAATCAAAAAAAATATTTTTAAAAAGTAGTCTGGGGACTATGTTTTCAATATTGTTTGACCTTTTTGGAGTAATTCTTGGGTATTTTACATTTTTCGTCGAAAATCCTCCCTGTAGGGGGAGACGCCCGATTTAAATCTTGGCCGCCCCCGACCAGACCTGCTGGCAGGAACCACCTCAGACCCCCGGCGGGCTCCAGCTACAGGACTCCTCCTCGCTTGAGCGGTCGGCCCCCTGCTTTGGCACGGCTTGCTTCGGCCCCGCCCAGGCACCAAATGCTGCCCCGCGAAGTGGGCTCTCCCGTGTCGTTCTTCGGGATCCGCGCCAGCTCCTCACCGGCAGGTGGCGGGCGAGCACTGGCACTGGCGCGGAGGGAGGTCAGGAGAGGGTAGAGAGGGGCGGGATAACGAGAAAGAAATCCACCACAAGAACCACCACCATCATCATCATCAGCATCATCATCATCAGCATCAGCATCATCATCATTATCAGCATCATCACGATCATGATGATGATCAGGATGATCGTCATCGACATGATCATCATCATCGTCCTCATCAGCAGCAGCATCATCATCGTCCCTATCATCATCGTCATCAGCATCTTACGTCATCTTCTTCATCAGCATTACCAGCATCATCATCATGATCATCAGCATCATTATCATCACTGTCATCACCACACCCACCACCACCACCACCATCAACCTCATCATCATCATCACTCTCCTCGAGGGGGGGGTATGGCTTCGGACCTCTGCTTAATGCCACTGTTTGCAACAGCGCGTCCGGATCATTGGTGAGAGAGTCCTTTGTCCTCCTCTGCGATCGGCAAATTCATGAAAAAGGAAACGAGGTGGAGGAGGAGGAGTGAAGAGGGAGGAGGGAGGGTGCTCGGCAAGCCAGTCTTGATGCGTAATTGTCGGTCTGCACTCGTACGCGCTCTTCGATTCCCTTCTCGCCGCCGCCCCGAGACTCTCCCGATGCCCCCCGTACAAGGGCGGCGGACCTGGGCATATAAGGCCTTTCCGATACGGAGGGCATTGCTCAGTTGCTGATGCTGCGCCGTGCGATTCTATGTTAGGAGACAACTACTGGTAGGTCTTCGTCGGAAAGATTTCGGAAAATTGAGTGAGCCCCACTGGGGGGCTGCCGGGAGAAAGCCGGATGAAGCGGGATTAAGCCGGATTGAGCGGGAGTAAGCCAGATTGAGCCGAGTTCGGACCAGGGCAAAATCAGAAACTGATCCCAAAGGAGTTGCGTCCGAAGATGTGCGATGGTGCGCTATACGCCATGCGATGCAGGGCCGTGCTGCGCCACATAGGCTACGCCACGGGTTGTCGAGTTGCCATGTGCAGGAGCGGCGGACCTACTCAAATTCCGGTATTTAACGTGGGGGGGGGAGGAGACGTCGTGGGGGGGGCCACGCCGGCGAAAATTATCCCAGGGCCAGACTGTCAGGCTGGCGAAACATGCGACGCTAAGGGGCCCACGAAAATTATTCAGCATTTTGAAACCGTGGCTGATGATGCGGATGGTGATGATCATTGTGATCATGCTCGTGCTGATGGTGAATGAGATGAGGCGATGTTAATGACGATGGCACCCGGAGATACCTGTGCTAAACACGGGTGGTTGCCAGTACGATGGATACGATCACGATACTGATGATGACAATTGAGATAGTTTGTGATGGTGTTGACGACGAAGGTATTGATATGATGATGATGATGATGATGATGATGATGATGATGATGATGATGATGATGATGATGATGCTGATGCTGATGCTGATGCTGATGCTGATGCTGATGGCGATGATGATGTTGAGAATGCTGATGATGATTGTGATGATATGTGGCTGTGCTGCTAGACGTTATATGATCATGATGGACACGATTGTGATGCTGATACTGAGGATAACGATACTGACGGCTATCGTAACGTATGTCGCAACACCTGCAGGATCTGTTTTAAACTCCAAAGCGTGATTCCGCGACCGCAAGATGGGCCCGAGAGGCCGTCTTGAAGAGGGCCCTTGGAGAGCCCAGGGCGGACCGAAGAGAGCCTCAAACTTGCCTCAAGGGCCTTTGGAGGGTCTCAACAGCAAGATTACGCCTGAAGAGCCCCGCGCCGGCCACGCGGCGGTCCCAAAAGACCCCTCAGACAACCACGAAGGCCCAAGATACTCCCAGGACGGCCAACGATGGCTTCACGAGGACCCGTGCGACCCCCAAGACTGCCCTCGGGAGCTCAAGAGCCCAAAGACGAGCCAAGATGTGACGAAACGGTCCGTGCTCCATGCGTTCATAGGCGCCGGCGGAAATTAAGCAGGCATGCCGCGAGGGCCGGCGGAAAATATTCCGTGAATCTCAAAGCCGGCGAAAGATATGTTGGGGCCCAGAAACTCGACCGGTGAAAATTAAACCACACACGTTTAATAACTGAATTAGAGTAGGCGCAGGGCCTCTCCGATACGGATGGCAATGCACAGTTGCTAATGCTACGCTACGCGATGATGATTATGCGATGGTGGTGCGCTATATGCCATGCAGTGCAGGGCCGTGCTACGCCACGTAGGCTACGCCGTGCACGGGCTGTCGGGATGCCGTGTGCGGCGCTGCATCGCGTTGAAGTGCAACTGCAATGGCAATGCACTGCAGTGTGATATGCAACGCTCACAGCACCGACCTTGCAGATGTGCTGCAGCGGATTTTGACGTGGATTTCTGTCAATGCCAATCCCCAGAATGGCGAGCGACAGAAGACGTGAATGTCACGTGGATGTTTACTCTTCATCCCCGACCAGAAAATTCGGCGGTGGACAAACCTCCCTTTAGTAAACCTCCCTTTAGTGAAGACGGCCTGGGACCGAAACCGACGGACCTGGACCCGCAATAATGACGTCCGCGACGCCCTCTCGCGAACCAAAAACGGCCAATTCCTCAATCGACGTGTCAGCGTAGGAGGTCTGGCCACCCCCGAAAAATCCGCAGGGAATTCATTTCGAAATCCAGAACGCAACTCTCCAGGACAATTCGGGCCGCGTCTACTAATTTCCAGACGAACTCCGCTCTGCGATGTTAGCGCCATGACAATGCAAGCCGTGCGCAATCCGTGCAACCCAGAAAACTGTCGAAGCAGTGCATTCCACTGCAGCTGGGTCCTGACGGACAGAGTACCCAGCCAATCAATCCTGCGAGAATGTTGGGCGGAGAAGGTCGAAAGAGTTGTTCTTCCAACTCCCTTCTTCCCAACCCACTCCACCGGGTCTGGATCGAGGGTTTCGCCAGGCGTTAGAACGTCAAAGATGGCCCAATATGGTTTGAATCCACAATGGCCCTGGATAGCCCAGGATGGCCTGAATATACCTCAAGGTTTCTTGAGCTCACCTCTAGCAGGCCGCCGAGAGGCCCCAGTTCCGCTCATAGACGGCTCCAAGTGGCCACGGTGCCTCCCAAGGATGCTCACTCCAAGACCCAAGAAGCCAACCTCACTCCAGAACAATAAGTTGCGTGCCTGCTCGCCTTCTCACGCTGGCGGCGGGCAAGGGGGCGAAGCGAGGAGCAGAAGGCCCCCATCGGAAGGCGGCGGGACCTCTCAGAAGCCCTCGCGGTTCCGGAGAAGCTTTCTGTGTCTCTGGTCGGGAGCGGCCAATGAGGGGGGTGTCCAAGAGGGGGGGGTGCAAATCATGACCGGCGGCATGTGCGCGGCCCAGCGGGGGGACCAGGGACGTAATGAAATAAGAAGAGGCGCCATGAAATCTGAGGAAATATCATGGCCCCCGCCATGATATCCACCCCCCCCCAGTCATCACCCCCTCTTTGCCGCCCCCGATCTGGGGGAGTCTTAGAACACTGCGCAGAAGGCCGGGGGACTTCCGAGCCTGCTGAGAAGGCCCGCCCCTTCCCATTCCCCCCCCCTGCTCGCCGCCGATCACGTAATGAGTGGCGTCCGGGTCCCCCAAATGGCTCGCGTGTGGCCCAGGAGAGCACCCAGAGGGGCGGAGGGGAGGAGAGCGGGGAGGGAGGGAAGGGGAGGGGAGAAGAGGGGAGGGAGGGAAGGGGAGGGAGGGGAGGGAGGAGAGGAGGGGAGGGAGGGGAGGGGAGGGGAGGGGAGGGGAGGGAGGGGAGGGGAGGAGAGAGGGCAGTTGGCAAGAGACGGACCGTCCCAGCAGTGCTCTGGGACTACCACGACACGTTCCTAGAACACATGTGTGTGCAAGAAAGAAAGATTCCTGGCGAAACGCTCAACCATATGTAGTTGTGAATAACGCGTTGTGGGTGCCACTTCTGGTGGGTCACGCAACGCGTGACGGGGCGTGCCGTAATGGGTGTGGGGGCGCATGCGGGCGGTCTCACTGGGGCCTTCGGTGGAGCTCCCTGTGGGGCCACGACGCGCTGTAGTGGGTTGTGGAATCGCATGCGGGCGATTCCACTGGGGCCGTCGGTGGAGCCCCCATACATGGCCACGAAACGCTGTACCTGGTGGTGGGGGCGCATGCGGGCGGCCCCAATGGGACATTCGCTGGAGCTCCCTACGGGGCCACGGAACGCTGTACTGGTTGGGGGGGACGCATGCGGGCGGTCCCACTGGGACCTTCGCTGGAGCTCCCTATGGGGTCGCGAAACAATGTACTGGGTGTGGCGGACGCAAGCGGGCGGTCCACCTGGGGGCTTCGGTGGCGCTCCCTATGGGGTCGCGAAACGCTGCACTGGGTGTGGCGGACGTATGCGGACGGTCCACGTGGGGGATTCGGTGGAGCCCCCCATGAGGCCACGAAGCGCTGTACTGGCTGTGGCGGGCGCATGCGGGCGGTCCCACTGGGACCTTCGGTGGAGCTCCCTATGGGGCGACGAAACGCTGTACTGGGTGGGGGGGCGCATGCTGGCACCCCCACTGGGGTCTTCGGTGGAGGGCCACGAAGCGCAGTACTGGCCGTGGCGGACGCATGCTGGCACCCCCACTGGGGCATTCGGTTGAGCTCCCCATGAGGCCACGAAACGCTGTACCGGTGGTGGACGCATGCAGACGATAACACTGGGGCCTTCGGTGGAGCTCCCTGTGGGGCCACGGAATGCCGTACTGGGTGTGGCGGACGCATGCGGGCACCCCCACTGGGGCCTGGGGGGACGGGAGGAGGGAGGAGGAAAAGGAGGAGGAGGAGGAGGAGGAGGAGGAGGAGGAGGAGGAGGAGGAGGAGGAGGGGGAGGGGGAGGGGGAGGAGGAGGAGGAGGCGGAGGAGGAGGAGGAGAAGGAGGAGGAGGAGGAGGGGAAGGAGGAGGGGAGAGGAGGAGGAGGAGGAGGAGGAGGAGGAGGAGGAGGAGGAGGAGGAGGGGGAGTGGGAGAGGAGGAACGCAGGGACCGTCTTTCAGATCGAGGGCCCAACACCACAGGATGGCTGGGAAGAACAGTGTTCCTACAACATAACACCGACGTCTTTCAAGCAAAACTGCCTCGACGAAAAGTGTTCAAGGAACACGTCATGCACACCAGGAGCAGGCCCTCAGAACAACACCTGGTGGACATCTGCGCAGCTTGAGGGAGAGAGGGCGGCGAGCGGAGGGGCGGGAGGCAAGGGAGGGGGGAGGAAGGGGGAGGCGAGGAGGGGAGGGAGGAGGGGAGAGAGGGGAGAGAGAGGAGAGGGGGGGCGAGGAAGGAGAGGAGAGGAGGGAAGAGGGGAAAGAGAGGAAAGGAGGGGGAGAGCAGGGACAGGAGCGAGGGGAGAGGAGGGGAGGGAAAAGGGAGTCCAGCTAGATGCGCACGCGCAGAAATCTGCCGTCCTACCCCTCCCTGCCATCCCTTACCACTGCGTAGATATACCCGCTATTCGCACAGTCGGATGTCGAACAGGGCAAGAAACCCGAAAGTCGAGAACGCGACCCAGCTCGACAACAAGATAAGAGGGAAACCAGAAATCGCACAGGACGGGAACTGCAAATGAAAAGCCTGCAAAGCGGAAAGCGCAAAATGAAACACCGCTGCAGCGGGAGCACAATTTCGAAGGACCAAAACTTTGGAAATGAAGCCAGCCCTGCAGTGGCACGATGTGGAAGGACTAGCAGCGCGGAGACGGAGCCAACACTGCTGCAGGAGCACGATGTTAGAAGAGACGAGGCAACGAAATGAGGTCAGCGCTACAGCGGGATTGTGAATTGGAAGGACTGCGAATGGGGAACAAGTGGAGCCAACGCTTCAGCGGGAGCGCCACTGAAGGAATTGAAAACGCTCGGAAGAGAAAACACACATATAAAAAGATCAACTCAGCGGCATCCCGTGTTAGGAAAGAATGCGCGGAGGAGGGCAGGACACCTCACCGCCGCCTCCCGGGGGAGCGAGGAGAGTGGTATTCATGTTGTGCAGCTAGGGAGGAGAGAGACAGAGAGAGAGAGAGAGACAGGAGGGGAGGGGAGTGGAAGGGGAGGGGAGAAGAGGGAGGGGAGGAGCGGGGAGATCGGAGTAGCGAGGGAAGAGAACAGATATCCCTATACCCTCTAGGATGCGGCTGGGGAGTCTGAGGCGGTTGGGGCCCGAGGAAAAATCTGCCAAAAGAGGGGATAAGGACAACTCAGCGCTAAAAATCGGTTCCAGGACCGCTCAGAATATCCATCTGGTTTTGAGCAAGGACCGACCGTCCCGGCATTCCTATAGGCCTACCACCAATAGTTCTTCGAACCCAAACATGTTCCAATAACAAAATCAATGTCCCTAGAACATACACCCGATGTGTTAAAACAAGACGGTCCCAGCCAGAAATGTTCTAGAAACATGTCGTGGAAACCACAAGCAGTTCGTAGACAACTCTTTGGTAGGGCTATAGGCGAGCCAGGACGCTTCGCTACTGCTTGATGGTTTAGTTCAAGCTCGCTGGAACCCCAAAACCTCGAACCTCTCCCCCTCCCCCTTCGTGCTCGCCAGAACCCAGTGCTGGGACACCTCATATGCCCAGCGGGCTCCCCACCCTCAGCGCGGCGCGCGGCCAGCCAGGAGAAGAGGGGAGGGAGGAGAGAGGAGGAGGAGGAGGAGAGAGGAGGAGAGGAGAGAGGAGGAGCGAGGAGAGAGGCAGAGAGGGCGGGAGGGGGAGGGGACGGGAGTGGAAATCGGAGGAGCGAGGGAAGAGAAGAGATCCCTCATCCCTCCCCGCCACCCCCCTTGTCCTCGGGGGTCTACTGCCCGGGTCAGTCGCAACCCTGGTCAATCAGGCCTTGCAAGATCTTGCAAGACCCTGCAGGATCCGGCAGGATCCTGCACGCCAGCCCCAGTCAGTGCGACCATGGTTCTGCAGGATCCTGCGCTCTGACTGACCCCCGTTTGCATTGACCCCCGTCTCTTGACTTGGACGTCCGAAAGTGGGTACAGAAACAATGGGTACAATGCCGAACAACAAATGTTGTCCAAAGCCGACAGCGGCCGCTGATGGGCGGGCGGCCACGTCCGCGGCGGCGCGGACAGCGGGCAAACAGCGGACATGTAAGATGAACAAGAACTGATGTTAAGCATCGCACCTAGTTTTTCCGTATCCATTTCGATCGTCCCGATCTGAGTCGGGGAGACACGAGACTCGGGTTCAGGGGACTCGGGTTGGCCTGACTGGGCCATCACGCAAATGACGAGACCCAATTTGAAAACTGACGCGAACTCCCGCTGCCAAGATCCCACGAAACTGAACCTTGAAAATCCACGACACGCTCTCGTCAAAAAGCGCCGGCAAACCCAAGCTCCGGCGCACTCAAGTCTTACGCTTCCTCGATTGACCCCCTTGTCTAATAAAAAACGGCATAAGCATAATATACTGGTGCTCCGCGCGGATGTCGTGTATCCGCGCTGGACGCCCTCCCTGACGCGCAGAGCGCGCCAAGGGCGGCGCCAGAGGCGCCGCCGGGGGGGGGGCAGCGCAGATCCATCCGCGCGGAGCGCCGAAACTGTATGTTGATGTAGTTGATTATTCTCGGCGGCGAGCGAGGGTGGGAAGTGAAAAGGAGAAGGCATGCTCAGAAGGCGGCGGGACTTCTCAGAGGCCCTCGCGCCTTCTGAGAAGTTTTTGTTGGTATTCGGGGACCGCTTCGGATAAACTTCTCAGAAGGCCTGGGGGCCTTCCGAGACTTCTGAGAGGGCCTTCTCCTTCTCGCTTCCCCCCCTTGCTCGCCATCGAGTATGGTTTGTTCTTCTTCGATCATCCCTGGGGATCTTCTGACCCAGGTAAATCCAGACCCGGGTCAGTCAGACCTTACACGATCCTGCAAGATCCTGCACGATCCTGCACCCCAACCCGGGTCAATGCGAATGATCCTGCACCCCAGCCCGGGCCCATGCGACCCTGGCCCTGCAGGATCCTGCAGGATCCGACGCTCTGGCTGACCCCCGTTCGCATTGAGCTCCGTCCCCCGACCCCCGACGCCATGATTTTGTTCATGACGTCGACCCCCAGAGGCTTCGACCTATGCCCCGGGACCGCTTCGTCATCCTGAGTCGTTCTTTGACAGTCCCGAGGCCCAGTAATTACAGTCAAAAAGTCTAATAAGGACGCGCGGTAAGGACGCAAGACCCTTGGAAGCCGAAGTTGGGATTTTGGGGGCGGCGGACGACGAAAACCTCAAGGACGCAAGAGCAAGGAAGAGCAAGGACGCAACTGTACCCTGAGCAAAATCGCGCGTCCATAGTAGGGTTTTTGACTGTAAGGGCCCCCAGATGTCGAGAATAGCAACAGAAAAACGTCGTGATGTCTTCATGACTCGAGGGGGTCTGGGTCTCTTTTGAGCAGGGACCGACCGTCCCGGCATTCCTAGACTGCTACCACGAAATGTTCTTAGGACCCAAGAATGTTCTAAGAACAGAAACAATGTTCTTAGGACATAAGCCCGATGTGTTAAAGCACGACAACCTCCGCCAGAAACGTTCTAAGAACATTTCCTGGGAACCACAAAAGGTTCTTAGAACATTGTTTGGTGGCGCTATAGGCGAGCCGGGACGCTTCGCCACTGCTTGACTCTCGAGCCCCGAGATCCTCGGCGCTCATCCTGGCCGGCTTCGCCCGGCCGCCCGCCGCGCCCGCGCCGAGCCCCGCGCCCGCGCCGCGCCCCGCCCGCGCGCCGGCCGGCGCCCCGGCGGCGGCTGGCGCCGCGGCGGCGGCCGGCGCCGCGGCGGCGACCGGCGCCGCGGCGGCGGCCGGCGCCGCGCTGGCGGCGGCGCTCGGCCGAGCGCCGCCGCCGGGGCCCGCTCCGGCGGGGTGCGGGCCAGCCCGGTGCGGGTCTGGAGCCGCTGCGGGGCCCGGGGGCGGGCCCGGCCGGCCCGGTGCGCGGCCGCCTCTTCCGGGGGAACGAGCAATGGCACAAGATCGGCGGCGACGACACGGGCGAATGGCCCAGGGGCGGGCATTACACGTAGTCGCTTGGGAGGCTTCCTCCAACCGAGGACGCCTGGCAAGGTCGAGGAGACGCCCCTGCCCCTCCCCCCCGGCCCCGACCCACGACCTGGGCAGTGGGCGCCGCCGCTGGGCGCTGGGCGCGGAGCCGGCGCCGAGGCGGCCCGCGCCGCGCTGCCTCCCGGCGGTTCCCCCCCCTCGGACCCGCCGACAGAGGAGTGCGCCTCCGATTATGTCGGGCGTGTCCCCCTTACAGGGGGATTTTCGACGAAAAATAAGAAATACCCCCAAAATACCCCAAACTATTTTGGACTATTTTTATACACCAACTAAAAAGAAGGACTCCAAACATATACAAAAAAATACACTAAGAATACACCGAAAATAAGAAATACCCAGAAAATAAGAAATCCCAAGGCTATTTTTTGACAATAGTTGGCATATTTTTATGGGTATATCTTATTTTTCGTCGAAGAGATCCCCCTGCAGGGGGGACAAGCCCGACGTAAGCCTCCGAGTCGCACCGGATCGTGTGCACGGTCACGCCCTCCCTCACCTCGGCGGGCCCCGGAGCGGGGGCGCGCCGGCCCGTGGGCCAGCACGGGGCCCACGGGTGGGCCTCAGGAGCTCACCTCCAGGGCCACGCCGCGGAGCCCAGCCGGCCGCCCACGCAGCTTCAGGTCGGGCATGTCCCCCTACAGGCGGATTTTGTTTGCACCAAAGCTCAAAATACTTAATTATCCCAGAGCGACCCTACCAAGGAGTTGGAGCCCCTAGGAACGCAGCATAAGCTAAGCTAAGCTAAGCTAAGCTGAGATAGCTAAGCTAAGCTAAGCTAAGATGATATAAGTTAAGATTAGCTTAGCTAAGCCCAGCTAAGCCAAGCTAAGCTGATGTAAGGTAAGGTAAAGTAAGCTAGGCGAGGCTAGGCTAAGCTAAGCTAAGCTAGGACGAGATAAGCTCAGATAAGCTAAGCTACTCTAAGCTAAGGTAAGCTAAGCTAAGCCAAGCTAAGCTAAGATGATATAAGCTAAGCAAAGCTAAGCTAAGCTAAGCTAGGCTAAGCTAAGCTAAGCTAGGCTAGGCTAGGCTAAGTTAAGCTACGCTAAGACGAGATACGCAAAGCTAAGCTAAGCTAAGCTGAGCTGAGCTCAGCGAAGCTAAGCTAAGCTTAGCTGAGCTAAGCGAAGCTAAGCAAAGCTAAGCTCGCCCAGGGGGCGCGGGGGGATCCTGGGGGAACCGCGGGGCGGATGCTGGGGGAACCGCCGGCGTGGCCCACTGCCCGGCCCTTTAAGCATACCGAGTAAGAACCCTTCTAGGCAGAGCCTAGGTAGCGAACCATACTCCCAACTAGTCAGAATGATCAATAATTCGCCCCCAGACTATGTTTTGACTATTTTGGAGCATTCCTCCTGTAGAGGGACAGGCCCGCTTAAATCCAGGGCAATGTCGCAGAGCCCAGCCGGCACTTGAATGAAGTCGGGCGTGGCCCCCTATAGAGGCGGCTTTTGAACGGAAAATACGTACCCTGGAAATGTTCGAAAATTGACAAAAATGGTAGAAAAATATTCCCCTGACCATTGTTTTATTATGTTGTCCCCAATCAGTGCTTGCACTGAAGGGGTCCTAGCGGAAGTTGAAAGATTTGGCGAAACGTTCCCGCAGAGTTTGGTAGCAGACTGGGTGCCCCGGTTCCCGGTTCCGGGTTCCCGGGTTCCCTGGTTCCCGGTTCCGGGCCAATGGGTTCTGGGTTCCCGGGCGCCTGGGTTCCCTGTCGATCTCCTCAGCGAAAACCATCCACTGATTGGGTTTTGTTTCTCTGGTGTAGTTGATGATTCCCCCTGTAGAGGCACGTGCCTGACCTGAAACTTGACTCGGCCCCGCGTGGCTCGTGCACGCGGGCTTCCCAGGGGGGGGCGGGCAGGCCCCGCAGTCGCTCGCTGGCCCCCGTGGCGCGAGCCCCGAACACAGGGAATGTCAGCCCAAAAACCAGGCTCTCGCACCGACTCGCCCGTCCCGAAGGCCCAGGTAGCAGGAGGAGGAGGGGGGGGGGGAGGAGGAG